TAAGTACAGGGCTGCAGATCCAGAGGGCTGGGACATGGGACCCTCCCAGGGCTGGGATGGGGCTGTGTGGGGTGGTTAAGGTGGGGACTGGGGATCTGCTGTCCCAAGTCCCCTGTGCCTCCTCAGCATTCCCCTGCCCCCTCCCCCCCTCCTGCACCCCAGCACTTCAAGATTCGCATGGGAAGGGGTGAGGAGGGAGAGGATACAGCTCTGCTCCCTCCCACACACGAAGGGATGTAGGAGCCCCTACATCTCTCAGCCTCTCTTCTCTGGCTGTGTTACCCCCCCACCCCATCCCACCCTGACACCCCTCTGCCCTTCCAGGTCTCCCCACCCTACGAGGTGCCACTGGGGCTGCCCACGGAGCTGGGCCGGGCGAAGGCGGCGGCAGCGCGGGAGAGCACCGGGGCACTGAAGGCCTGGCTGGCTCGGCACCCCAGGAACCCCTATCCCAGCAAGGGGGAGAAGGTGATGCTGGCTGTGGTCAGCCGGATGAGCCTCACCCAGGTCTCCACCTGGTTTGCCAACGCCCGCCGGCGCCTCAAGAAGGAGAACAAGGCGGGCTGGGCCACGCGCGGCGCCTCGGACGGCGAGGACAGCGAGGGCGAGGGGGTCCCACCAGCTGCTGAACCCATTCCCAGTTCCACCCCCGTGCAGGATGGGTGTGGGGGCAGCCCTGAAGTAGGGCCAAGCCCTGGGCAGGGCAAGCAGCTCCAGAAACCCAAGATCTGGAGTGTGGAGGCAATGCTGTCATCTCCCCCTGACAAGGACGGGTGTCCGTCGGGGTTACCAGTGGTCCTGGAGCAGGCGTAGGGCTGGGTTGGTCATGTCCTGTCTCCAAGGGCATGGCAGGACAGACGGACATGGGACCTGGCAGCTGCCCAGTCAAGAAGAGTGGGAGATGTGGGCAGGGAGGGACGCAGAGTGATAATAAATGTGACTGTCTTGGTGTTGCCTGTCTGGTGTGGGTGCTGCTGGGGATGCTGGCAGGGATGTGGCATCTCGGTGGGGATGCTGGTAGGGATGCAGATGTACCAGCAGGGATGTGGGGAACTTTAGTGCCAGTGGTGCTGCGAGCAGTCCCTGGGGAACAGGGCAGGTCCAAGGCGGAGAGCAAAACCAGACTTTTTTCTTCTCGATAAAAGTAATAAAATGGTTAGCGGTGTTAAATTAATCCTTACAAAACAAAACCCAAGGAGGTTAAAT